GGTGGGGGCTGAGTTGCCCTGAACACATCCCCGGGAGGAGAGCACCTTATCAGTCAGTGGTTCTATGGCAGGAGTGTGATTCTGGGAAGGCTAAGAGAGACAACCTTGCACAGTTACGAAGAAAAACCTGCTCAGTGCAGTTGATTCTTTGGGGAAAGACCCGTCTATCCCAGATGTCTAGGGTGAATCTCCCTGATGAAGGTTCAGGCAGAGCCCCTTAGAATGTGCCAGGTGAGAGAAGCTGCACGAGCCCTGGGCCGGGGTTTGTGCCTGCGTTGTGCTTGCTGAGCGGGTAGGGCAAGTCCTTGCCTCTTATCCCCATATAAACGTCACACTTACTAAACAACAGTCTGTGGGACAGTGCGTTGTCCCCTGCAGTACTCATCGGCGATCGTCCGCTGCTGGTTCTTCCTGCCTCAGGCCACCTCCCTCATGCTCGCTGCCAGGTGGACCTGAGACCTGTGGGCCAGACTCAGCCCGCCCACCCCCAGCACTGGTCCGATTCCACAGCAGGCCAGTCAGCTGTCTTCCTCCCCAAAATGTGCACACATGTTCGCCCGTGGAGCCTTCCATTTCCTCCCCAGGGCACCCTCTTTTACTGCCGACCATCCTCTCCTGTCCCCCCACCTTACCTGTCCCTTTTGAGTTCTGGGCTGGCACTTCCTTTTTTCTGGGAAGCAGGGAAACCACAGCCCTGACTCAACCTCCTCTCACATCCAAAGGTTTGGGACCTTTCTTTCTTGTCTCTGTCTCTCTCTGTCTCTCTCTGTCTCTCTCTGTCTCTCTCTCTCTCTCTCTCTCTCTGTTTTTTGTTTCCTTTTGTTCTTTGTTAGGTTTTTTTTATTTGTTCCAAGTAAACTCCCAGAACAGCTGGTGATGAAAGACAAATCAGGGACATTTGCTCTTTACTTTCACCTCAAAAACTGAGGATGTGGGGAGAAGAAACAGCAAGGGTGAGAGTGAGGCAGAGGGTGTGGAGCCTGGCGCTGGAGTGCGAGTCCAGCTTCCCGCACGATGCTCGCCTTCTCGGGCAGGACTGGAACCACAGGCGCCCCAGGCCGGCCTCGGCCGGATGCATGGGGGTGGCTTCAGCCCGATGGGAGCACGACTCACGTATTGTGGTCCACACAGGGACAGCCAGCCTCGTTCCCGAGAGGAGGCTTCGGACACGGGGGCAGAGCTGAGCTGGGGATACCAATGGGAACAGGGCACCCCTACCGCACTGACTTCCAGAGAATGGTTCTCCCTTGCTCCCTGAGGACACCAAATTGGATGAGCCACGAGTCTGAGAGAAGAAAAGAATCAACCGCCATCCTTTCTCTCACGCCTCATCCCAAGAGGGAAAGGGCATTTTCTTTTTCACCTTTGAAAGGCACTGTGGGTCTGTCTCTAAAGTGTTTACAAAAAAAAAAAAAAAAAAACATAAAAAAAAAAGTCTAGTGTCGACTGTTGTTTTCCCCTGTGACGTTTACAGATTGCCGTCTGCCACCCAGCTAGAACCCACCTGGTGAGAGAAACAAACAGAGCTGGGCTCGCGTTCTGATGGTACGGGAGCCCGCTCGCACGGCCCTCCTGTGCCCAGTGCCCCGTCAGCTCGGCCCTGTCCATCACTGACCACTCTGCCTTGGTTTTCTTTGTCCATCTTTCTGGCTTGGTTTTGCACTTTTCTCCCCTTGGGACCCTGAGACCTTGACTTCATTGCCAAAAAACAAAAAACCCATGGAAGACCATTCCTGAGTCTTCTCCCTTCTTCCCTCCTGGTTCTGGTCAGTTCAGAGGACTTAACAATCACAAGTGTCCTGCAAAAATGCCTGAACATTTTTCTTAGACCCTTGTGGATTTTTTTTCCAGAAAACTTAAACAAAAGACTTATTAAAGGAATATGTACAGCTACCCGTTTTCAGGCACTCTGTTTGAGAACGTTTTAGCCATTGATGTTCACACGTGGCATCAGCCCATGCAAGATAGGTTTCTGTATTTATATATTAAAATACAAAAAAAAAAAACACCTTATAAAATGTTTAAAAAATGTTCAAAGCTTGGGGAAAAGCTTTCTTCATTAGTCAAGATGTTTTGATATGGTATTAAAATAATGTCTAATAAAAGATGCATTGTGTGACTTTATTTTAATGGTGTTACACAATCAGGAAATGGGGTTTGCACACCCTGTCTCCTACCTCCTCCCCTACCTCCTTAGCCTTCCTTCAAGGTACTGTTTGGGGCTGCAAGTGTGATGGGGTTCTCAGCATGGTCGTACCTGGGTCAGGGGAATGTGGCAGGTCAAACCCTAGTCCCACAGGTTTACTAACCCTCTCAAGCATCACAGAATCAACCTGCCATCACCTGTGGAGTTGTAACAAAATTCTGCAAGATCTGCAGAGGCGAAGATCTTGCAGCCACTGGAAGCTGCAAGGATGTGGGTTCTAACAGGCTCTCCCCAGCACCCCACCCACCTGCCCCCTTTCATCCTCCGCTCCCCCTCCCCGTCCCACGTCCCATGTCCTGACTGCCTGTTGCTCAGTGCTGACTCATGGGCATGCTTCATTGAAGCCCAGAAACAGGCCCTGTTTTGGGACTAAGCCAACTGAGAGCCACTCAAGGCTCACAAGAGTTGGCACAGCTCGTGTTGGGCAGGAAGCTCGGGGCAGTGGGTAACTGCACGCCCGGCCTCTGTCCCTGTGCCAGACAGGCTCCCGGAGCAGCGTCCCAGAGCCTCCTACAGAGCCTGTGAAGGAAACCTCTGGAGGGAGACGGCTCCACACCTCTGCGCTTCTCAGGTCTCCGTCTGCTGTTACCTCTGTGGGCTCTGACCCCGCCAGGCCCTGGCTCTGCAGCCATCAGAATTCTTTCAGATGCTTCCTGAAACACCTACTCGGCAAGGGCGTTGCGCACCGGTGGGCAAGTGTGAGCTAAGGTACAGGCACATTCAGCACGTTCCGAGAAATACCAAAGAAGAATATGTGGGTCTGAGCCTGGGCCTTGGAGTCAGACCTGAGGCGGAGACCCTGGGGACCAGCGATCGCCATGGTGGCCAGAACATGGGCTCCAAACTCTCTGCATGTGGCTCCTCTACTTCGCAGATTGGTCTTGTGAAATGACTTCATTTGTCTGAACTTCACATTCCTTACATGGAAAGGGGGGACCGAGTCATGCACAGAGGTCACCGTGAGGGTCAGAAAGTCTGCCCAAAAGCCCCTGGCACATGCCTAGCAGGCTCCCGTGTACCACAACACAAAGAGCATTGTTCTATTCACAGCACCTCCTGTTTCTGCCTGGCAACTGTGTCTCCCTGTTCTATATTTAATTCCTCCAGCAAAGTTGGTCCTGAAGAAGATCTCCTTGCCTGACCCCTGGGCCTGCAGGCAGAGGGCTGTATGCCCACCTCAGTTGCTCAGGCCTGGCGTCCTTGGCAGCAGGCATCCTGGGTGAACTGAGTGGTTGTGAGCCAGGTGGGGCAGGGCTGGAGCCCAAACCGGGGCTGATACTAACCCCCTTCGCATCCCCAGCGACTTTCACTCCCACTGGCACAACGCAGTCCTCCAGACTCAGGCCTAGATTGCCAGCTCCTGGGGGTGAGATGGGGGCCTGGGTCTCCCAGGTGAAGCGCATCTGTTTTCCATCCAGACAGCCCTCAGCTCTCAGAGGGGGAGGGGATGGTCAGGAACCGAAGGTCAGCTCCACTCCCTTCGCCGGGCTTCCTGGACAGGAGCACCTCACTAGTATAAAGTCATCTACTAGTGTTTAATGTTGAGGTTTTTAGGAGAATGTCCTTATTCTTAGGAGAAAGATGGTGAAATTCGTAGGTGAATGAGAGATAGGTTCGTTTCAAATGGGTTTCTCCGAAATACAGCAAATAGGACAAAGATTCATTGTTGAATCTTCAGTGGCTGATATATTAGTGAACAGTGTGCTTGTTCTTTCAACTCTTCTGTATGTTTGGGATTTTTCCTAATAAAAATATTGTGGGGAAATGGTCATTTGCTGAGCACCGACTAGTTGCCAGGTGGTGGGAGACATCAGAGGAGAACCCTGCCCCTAGCAGGGACGGCTGCTCCTGCTGAACAGGGTGGGTCTGGTGGAATGTGCGAGGCTGACCTGTATGGAGTGGTTTGGGGAGGGAGCTAAGAGACTCGCCCCACACCGCCCCTTGGCACAGCTACTGCTCCCATCGAGGACAGCTGGGGGACAGAAACGACACAGGAAGGGTTCCTAGAACCAAGGACAGGAGTCACAATGGGCTGCCTCTGCCCAGGGTCTCAACGGCTGATGGGAAGAGGGGTTGAGGGGTGGAGGTGGGCAACTAGCTCAGAGGTGGCTTGGGACAGAGAGTAAGGCTAGAAGGAGGGTGCCCCTGCTTGGCTGGCCAAGCCCTTTTCCTAAGGAGCCAGAGGGTGAGAGATGGGCCCACACAATAGGCTCCTGGGACCTGCAGGGGGGTGGAGAGTTTAGAGATTGGCTTGCTGGGCTCCACTGCCCCAATAGACGCTGTGATGTCTGAGTTTGTGGTGTCAGGCGCCCTCTCGTGGGCTTAAGGGGAACAACTCAAGTAACCCAAACTAGCTCTAGCCTGGGATCTCAGGGCAGGGGACGCGCCACCTGGTGGACAGATTCTTACAGGGCAAGAGATCTGGGCGTATGGCACAATACCCTGGAGAGGCGTGCTATGAGGAGAATAATTTCACTTCCATTTCTCATGATTGGTAGCAGCTGCTTAAAGAATATGTTCACAATGTTCTAAGGCCCATTTGGGGCTCAATGGGGGAGTATGTCATAGTGACGTTGGCCATGGGCAAGTCCTCAGGCCCTGAGGTTCTTCCTACCAGCAGGGCAGTTGGGACAGGGACCTGGGTTCCTGAAAGTGACCTTCACCTGTAGCCTGAGCACCAGCACCCCCTCAGGGTGCAGTAAATCAGAGGACAGGTCTGAAATGAGGGATGAGGGTGTCACTGGCCAAATGACCTGGGGGGGAGTAGGAACAGGTGCAGGAGGCCAGTCACAGGTGCTGCCTGCTCATCTCCACACAGCCACAGGCGGGGTTCCACTTTATTTGGGGGCCTCAAAGAGAACTCTCAAGGTCCCATCCCACACAAAGAAAGCACTGCATGGCAGCAGGCAGAAGGAGTAGAGCTAAGGGTACTTCGCTCCTCAGGCTTTGTCCAGGCTCCCAGCAGTGGGGAAGCCTGAATGGAAGGGAGTCATCTTAGTCTTTGGGGCGAGCCACACTGGCAGGACAGGCTGTATAAGAGGGCAGAGAGGAAACAGCTTCACCAGGAGAGAGCGAAGCCTTCAGGCTTCTTTCACCTTCCTCTGGCCTTGGGCTCCAGGTAGGAGGCAAAAGCAGAGCTGATCTGTGGCATGAAGAGAGTCCAGACAGGATGTTCCACTGGTCTGGGGGCTTGTTGGTCAGGTACTCGGAGCCCCTCACAGCACCTTGCCTGGGTTCATGAGACCTCGGGGGTCCAGTGTGGCTTTGAGCTGCCGCATGATCTCCATGCCCACAGCACCTCTTTCATCCTGAAGCAACTGCCGCTTGCCCAGCCCAATGCCGTGTTCCCCAGTGCATGTCCCGTGGAGTGCAAGTGCCCGCCTGGGAAGCCATGGAGAGGAGACCATCAGTTGGGTGTTCCTCCCACTCCCATTGGTCTCCCTCATCTCCCTGGCCCAGGCTTTGCTCTTGCCTGCCCAGCTGGTACGCAAAGGTCTGAACCCTGCGGAGCTCGTCAGCATCCTCTGGGTCTACCAGCAGTATGCAGTGGAAGTTACCATCGCCCACGTGTCCAATAAGGCCTCCTGCGGGGGGCGGGGGGGAGCAAGACGACAGAGCTGCTGCCCCCAGCCCCCTTCCGCCCTCTCCTCCCCTACTCCAGCAATTGGCAGGCAGAACCTGTGAGCCCTGAGGTCTTCAGGTCCTCCTTGGTCTGCACCAGGATCTCCGGCAGCCGGGAGATGGGAACACAAACATCAGTGGAATATCCCTGGACAGAGGGCAGAGGTTCTCCCTCACCCTCTGCCTAGAGGTAAGGGGTCCCTGTGGTCAAGGTCCCAGGGGGCTCAGCCTCACACACAAACCTACTTGCTCTCCTCTGGGCACTGCCAGCAGACTGCCGCAGCTCTCTCCTTGCTCCCCACCCTGGCCAGGGTCATCCCTCCACTTCCCACACCCCCCACTCCTTGCGCCCACAGCCTGGCTCAATGCAGAGGCTCCCTCCCCGGGGTTTGGCAGATGACTGCATTCCCTCTAGACAGAAACAGCTAGGTGGGAACAGTCCTGCCCCTAGTGGGCCTTGGCCTGCTATCTGGACATCCGCGTAGTGGGCTGAGCAAAGGGTCCATGGGCTCAGCCATGGAGCCTACCTCCCCCCAGCCCAGCTCACCTTGCAGCCCGGCCGCAGGGCCAGGGCCGAGTACCAGGCATTGTGCCGGGCAGCCCAGAGCTGGTTGCGCTCCTCTGCGTCCTTGGCCCAGGAGAAGCGGGAGGCTCCATTGTCTTGGGTGATCTTCTCTGTTGGGGCAGGGGAGTTGACACCAGGCACTACTCTGGACAGCCTGTGTGCCCTACCCCACAGCACCTTGCATACCTGCCCACTGCACCTGCTCTGCCAGTGCCTGCTTGGAGCCATGGAACTCGAGGAAGAGCGTGGGCGCCACAGGGGAGTTCAGTTTGCTGTGCCTGTTGCAGGCTTCTATCATGACCTCATCCAGGAACTCTGGGGCCAAGGAGAGGGCAGGTGAGGTAGGGCTAGTCTTCCGATGGGGCCTCTCCTGGGGGAGCCCACCTGGATTGCCCAGTTCCCATCTCACCAATACGGGCCACGGGTATTGCAGCCTGGAGGATGTGTACGGTGCTATCCACGGCTGCCTGGACACTGGGGAACGTGCAGATGGAGGCCACTGTGGCCTCAGGGGCAGGGTGCAGGCGCAAGGTGGCGGCTGTGATGAGGCCCAGTGTCCCCTCAGAGCCCACAAAGAGCCCGGTGAGGTTGTAGCCAGCTGCGCTCTTCCTGGGCCCCCAGGGACATACAAGGTAGGTGAGTACCCAGGCCACGTGACAACGGGTTTCCGGTCAGGAGCCTGGAGCTAGAAACTGGGGCGCTGTCCCCCAGGCCCCTGCTAGGCAGGGTGCTGAGCCTGAGATCTGAATGGCCCCCTCAACCCAAACTGCCATCACGGCAGACATTCCCTGGCACAGCCCACGTTGGCCTCGTGCAAGAAGAGCAGATCCCAGTACAGCAGCCTTGTCCGCTGCCGCAGGCTCAGAAGTCTGGCCCAGCTGCGGAGGAGGCCCTAGTCCCTGTGGGTGGAGGGTGCTTACCGGAAGTGGCGGCCCTGGCCCGCCGTATGGAGCACCTGCCCACCAGGCAGCACCACCTCCAGGTTCAGCACATTTTCCCGAATGGTGCCATAGTGCACAGCGTTGGTGCCCGAGGCCGCGGTGGCTGCCATGCCACAGAGAGAGGCGTTTGCACCTGGGTCTGGAGAGCAGAAGGAAGACAGAAGGCTGCCTGGGGCAGGCGCCTGGGGACAGAGGGGTCCCCTGAAACCCCAGAAAGAGTCTTCCTTCCAGGGATCCCTCAGGGCCCCAAGGAAGGGCCTCAAGTCCCAGCCTACCCACAGGAAACCAGAGGCCACTGTCCCGCAGGTAGGTGTTAAGTGCTTTGTGGGTGACACCGGGTTCCACCACCACAGAGAAGTCTGCTGAATTCAGAGCCAGGATTCGGTCCATGTTAGTCAGATTGATGCAGACGCCGCCCTGGTGGGAGGGGTACCAAGGGGCCAGTTGGCCTAGTTTTCCCGCCAGGCCACAGCCCCCAGGACCCCAACCTTGAAGCTGACCTCCCAGCAGCCAGACCAGAGCCTCAGAAAAGCTGGTAAGGAGGACGGGGCCTGGGCAGCCAAGCTGCGGGTGGTGGAGGGAGCCACGACTGTGACAAGTGCAATGGGACCAGAGTCTGGCCTGGAAGGGGCCAACGTACCTGCACAGCACAGACTCCACCCTCAAGCCCAGTGCCAGTGCCGAAGGGGATGATGGGTATGCCTTGGCCATAGCACAGGGCTGCCAGCTGGCTGACCTGCTCCACGTTCTGGGGCCACACCACGGCGTCCGGAGGTTGGCACCTAGAATGAGACCCTCAGCAGTTTAGGGGGCATGGGACTCTGGTCCTGCTCACATTTCAAGGATCTCCGAGATAAGACAGGGCCTGGGGCTGCACCGTGGGACCAGCGTGTGGAGGAGAGAAGGCCAGAGAACCCTAGAGCAGGTGGGTGGGGAAGAAGCCAGCCCAGAGCCCTCACCCCCAGGGGCCAGGCGCTCGGAGAGGCCCCCACACCTGTGCAGTGACTCGTCGTGCCCGTGTTGCTCCCGTACTGCAGCAGCAGTAGACACGTGGGGGCTCCCCACAATCGCCTTCAGAGCCTCCACAAAGTCCTTGCTGAGTTTGCCCTGCAGGGAAGAAACACTTTGTCAGTGTCACTCACAGGCGCCTGGGGCCACAGGTCCACCCCTGTGGCAGGTGGGACAGGTGGGGCTGGAGTGGGACGGGCTGCCAGCGTGTCCAGCCTCCGCTGCCCTCACCAGGTGACACCACCCCTCAGGCCCAGGCCTCGCCAGTGGGCCCACCCGCAGCAGATCCGCCCTCCAGGGGAGCCCCTTTCCAGACAACCACAGGAGCCAATGTTTCACTTCAGAAAAAGTGCCCCCTGGATAAAAATTAGAACCAGATTCTCTACAAAAAGAGGCATCAACAGGGTTCCATAATGTAGCCAGTCCTGCCTGAGTGACTTGCAAATGTTACTCATCTCTGTCCCCTCTTAAAGGCCAGCCTGGTACACCAGGGATGCGGAGCTTGATAAAGGAAGGACAGGAAGCAAAAGCTCTGTTGCCACCAACTTGCAGTGCCCCCACTGCCACTCCACTTCGCCTGGGCGCGCGTCGGGTTGGAGCCCTTCTAGGGATTCCTCCCAGTGTGACAGATGGGGAGAGGGTGCCAGCAAGTCAAGGAGAGCCTGGCCTAGGACCCAAGTCTTGGCCTCCCAGGCACTATTTCAAAAGATATGTGTATATTTGGGTGCCCCAGAGGGGTACCATGCAGCCCACAAACCTTGCAGGTGGCCCCCCTAAGGCCCACCCGTTACAGCTGTGGGAACCTTGGCCTATCTCACTCATCACCCATGCTGGACACACACAACCCATTGATCCTCTGCTCAAGGTCACATGGTGCTGGGGCAGCACAGAGCCTGGTGGGAGCTTGGCATGGGCAGGGGGCGGGGGGGAGGGACGGGGGGGGGGAGTCCACCCTACAGGGGGCTTCCCCTGCCTACCTGCCTTACCCTGGAGCAGTAGCCCCTCCAGGGAAACGGCCCCCAGACTGCGGCAGCCCGGAGCAGACCAGCCATAGCTGGGCAGCGGTAAGAGAGGTGGGGGCATTTAAGCTGCACCAGCTTATTAAATATGCTCGGGGTGGAGCTTACGTAAGGTGGCACTCCTTAAGGTGGCCCTGACAGACCAGTATTTCTAAAGGCGGGTGAGGCTTGCCAAACAAAAGGGAAACAGAATAGCAGGGCTTCCTGCTTGCCTCCTTGTCAAGACTCCTTGCCAAGTCTTGTCAGACTCCTTGCCAAGGCCTTAAAGGTCCTGCCAGTGCCTGCTGACCTCTCCATATACCCCACTTCCTTTCCATCTCCTTAGCTTCAGAGCTCCAGCTTCATTGTCTCTTCCTGTATACCTCTGGTTCCAACCAGCCTCAGAGCCTTGACATACATGCTTGTCTTTCTCACCCTGCAAGTCTCAGCTCCAGTGCCACAGAGTAAGTAAAATCAGGGCTGTGAGGAGAAAAGTGCAGGGGTGAAATGGAGCAGGGCAGTATGGTAAGCCAGGAAGCCTTCCTGGAAGAAGAGAGCTAAGGATGATCAGCAGTGCTGTACATAAGAGATGGAAAAGACTGTTGCAACTCTTTCATCTCCACCCTCCCAACTGGGCAGATCCGAGGACCATCCTGGAGTGATATGGCTTCTGCTCTTGAAGGTATTTCAAGCTCAGTTTTCCTCCCACAGCGAATTTGAAGGAACATGTTGCTAACATTACTAAGATAAAGCTATTCCTATCTGTTTTTCTTCCAAACTGAATTAGGAATACAAACCCCTACTTAGGTCCTTCTCCTCAACCATATTCAAATGAGTTCACATATCCACTCACTGTGTTGGTTAACTGGCTCATCTCAAAAATAAATCTCTTTCATAGTTGGTTAATTCAAATCACAATTCAGTGCAAGTCCACAAAATGCATTTGTTTAATGTCTCATAAATCTCTTTCAATCTATAACAGTTTCTCTCTTGCCCTTTTTGCCATGCCATTTATTTGTTAAAGAAGCTGGGTCACTTGTTCTATAGAATTTTCCATGTTCCGTTTTTGAATGATTGTACCCTTGTGAGATTGTTTCATATATTTCTCTAATCTTGTATTTCTTATACATTGTTAGATCTACGTGTGGCACTCTCCAATACAAATTTGTGTGCTGATGGAAATCTTCTCTATCTGTGCTTCCCAGTGTGGTGGCCATTAGCCCTATTCAGCGAATGACATTAGCGCTATCTACCTATGGTTGGGGAATATATGACAGGTAGGGAGTGTGACAAACCCTAAAAGAACCACAGTGTAGATCCCTGCGGTTCTGGAGCAGGGCCGTGACATAGTGTAGAGAGAGAGATACACTATTTTAAAAAGTGACCCTGGCTGTAGTTGGTGTGACTCAGCTGTTGGAGTGTTGTTCTGTAGACCGAAAGGTCATGAGTTTGATTCCTGGTCAGGGCACATACTCCGGTTGCAAGTTTGATCCCCAATCAGGGTGCGCATGAGAGGCAACTAATTGATGTTCCTCTCTCACATCAATGTTTCTCTCTCCCTCTCTTCCTCCCCTCCCCTCCCCTATCTTGCTCCCCCACCATCTCTCTTAAAAAAAATCTATCCTCAGGGTGAGGATAAATAAATAAATAAATAGTCCCGGCCCACTACTAGGTCCTGGTTAAGATGGTGAATGTGACCCCAAAACATCAAGGGACTATGTGGCCAAAACTGGCCATCATGAGCTGCGTTGTACCAGGCTTACCAAGTCATAAAGTCAGGTCCAAAACAATCCACTGTGGATGAAACAGAAATAAACAGAATGGGGCATAAGCAGTGCCAGAGGGCAAAGTAGGCTGCGTGAGTAGGCAGCCCAGACCCCCGGTCACCCACCGTTGCTTGGTCATCACTTCTCCCTCAGCTGTGAACACATGGGGGAACTCTTATGACCACCTGATAGAGAAGGAAGAGTTCAAGTTGATTCATGGATGGGTTGGCTCGGTATGAGCATGCAAGCAGAAAATGGACTGATGCCGGGCTATAGCTCCACTCAGGGGCGACCCTGAAATCCTTCCGATTGGCAAAGCTCTAGGTCATGCATCTGGTTGTCCCCTTTTGTAGAAAGAAAAGTGGCCCAACAAAAGAATATATCTAGGCCTATGGGCAATGGCGAATAGCCTGGCTGGTTGGGCAAGGGCCTATGAGGAGAAAGATTGGAAAGTTAGGGTCAAGGAGGTCTGGGAAGAGACTTGTAGCTATAAGAGTAGGTACAAAGTGAGATCTTTATTTCACATGTATCACATGTTAACACCCAACAGAGAACATCTACCATGCAAGAGACTAAGTGAAGTAGACAGCAAGATTCAGCCAATTGTCATCAGCCAAGTTCTGTCAATAACCATCCCAATGATAGCATAATGATAATAGAGGTACAGACTAATAATGTGCCCACCAACATGGGCACCCACTCACTAAGGCTGATCTAACGACGACAATTGCTGTGGGTCTACCCTACTGCAACACTGAATCCCTGACATGGTGCCATTCCTCAGGGAAACCAGCCAGTCAAGTCACCTGGTCACAAGTTTATTACATTCCATTTGGGAAGGGGAGCAATTTATCTTGACTGAAATCAACACAACACATATTAGGGGTATAGGTCTGCCTCTCCTGCCTGCATGCCTTCAGCCAGCCTTTCTGTCTGAAGGCTCCCAGTGTTTGATCCGTCTACACAATATAGCATATAACATCACTTCAGGCAAAGTGACTCGCTTTTTAACAAAGGAGGTGTAGTAGTGGTATTCACTACTGACCATGAGATTCACTAACTCTAATTGTCTATTGAAAGGAAAAAGCCGGTGCCATTTGCTTCCATGGTGTCATTTGCCAAGGAGACCTATGACCTTGTTAAACATGACTGCCATTTTACTCTTCTGAATTTATGTCCCCAGAACTAGAAAATGACTGGAAAAGCAAGAACAGAATGTGACTAACTGCTTTCCACAGTCTCTGGCAAAAGTTAACATTGGAGCAAACTGCAGCTTATGCAAAATCAACCAAAACCTCCTGTGTTACAGTGACCCTATCAACTCAGCAGCCACACAACAGCAACCCCTCCCCAAACCCTTTATAATCCAATAAAAAACTCAAGACCCCAATCCCTCAGGGCTGGTGTATTTGTCTACGTCAAGCCCCTTTCCTCCCTTGGAAAGTGAATAAAACTTTGCTCTCTGCATTTTCCTTTCCTCGTGAATTCTTTCACAGCCCGTGTCAATGGCCAACCTAACATCTACCTCACCATGTGGAGCCAACAATCTGACAGAGATAGAAGGAATAGCCTTTGGAAGGGGCAGCTAACGCACCAGCTTAGAGATAATTCTAGTCAACCCTAGTGCCAGAAGAGGAAAACTTTTTTATATGAACAACAAATAAAGGGTGAGTATAACTGCTATTTTTAACTTTTTATTTTGCAATGATTTTACATTTACAGAAAAATTGCAAAAATACTAGAGAGGATTCCTATATACTCTTCATTTAGTTTTCACTAATGTTGACATTGTAGATAACCATAGTACAATTATCAAAAATAACTGGCAAAATACTAATTGATACAGTTAGAAAATTGGGTACAGTACTAATCTACCTGTTGGATTTCACCTCTTTTTCCACTGACACCCTCTTGTTTTGGTGGGGGTTTGTTTGTTCGTTTGGTCCAGGATCTCATCCAACATTGCACATGGCATTTAGTTGTCTTTGTCTCCTACAGTCTGTGACAGTTCCCCAGTTTTTCCTCGTCTTTCTGACCTTAACATTTGCAGCACTATCAATTCCTTTGTAGAATGTTCCTCAGTTGGGGTTGTCTGACATTTTCTCGTGAGTATGAGGTCATGTGTTTTTGGCAAGAATACCAAAGAGGTGATGTGCCCTTCTCAGTATATCATATCAACAGTAGAAGATATTGATATGTCTTATTACTATGACATTAACCTTGACCACTTAGTTTAAGAGGTGTCTATGGGGTTTCTGCACTGTCAAGTTACTATTTTTCTCTTTGAATTTAATAAATATATTGGGGGAGATACTTTAAGACTGTAAGACTCTGGCCAAAACAAATCACCAAGCCAGCCTCAGTTGAAGAGGTGGGGAAATGGATTGCACCTTCCGATAAGAAAACCTGCCAGGTCATGTTGCAGAGGGCATGGAGATAGGTGAGGCATTCATCGGGGCCACTTCCTTTTCATAATGACCTCCAAATCCTACTGAGATATCCAGTTCTTTTGATACAGAAATAAGCTTCCTTCATGCTGTTTGGCAAATGTGGCCGAGAGCTGGACGCAAAGAAATGCTTGTGTATAAGGGAGGAGAAGATAGATACTACCTCAGCATTCTTCAGTATTGCTTTTCTGGAAAAACAAAACAAAATAAAATACAAAACCAGTCTACCTTGGCACAAAAAAGCATTGTATGATAGGTCATTATGCAGTAATGGATTAACTGAGCAAGCGTGGATTCTCCCAGGGGTGTCTAACCCACAGCCCAGGAGGTCTATGAAAGTGGCCCAGGTTGGCTCTCAATGTGGCCCAACACAAAATCGTAAGTTTACTTAAAACGTTTATTTTTGCTCTTAAGTTTTTGTTGGCATTTGTGTATTTAAAGTGTGGCCCAAGACAACTCTTTTTTTTTTCCCGTGTGACCCAGGGGCATCAAAAGTTTGGACACCTCCGTCGGGTACACCATGTACCTTCTGAAGAAAGGTTTAACTCTTGCCCAGCTTTTGGGAGGTAAACTCTTAAGCTCTTGGAATATCCTGCCTGATAAAAGTGTCTTTCTTTACCTAGAGGCTTTAGATCTGCCAGGTAGTGTATACTAGCAGATCTATGTGATTTATGCTGGGGGCCTTGGGCCATATGGTATCAGCTTGACCTCTGCTGGGTTTGGAGACTACAGTCAGCCAGATGGGCAGTGAGACATACCTGTGTGACCAACCTCCAAGTGTCCGGTGAGCTTCCGGTTAGCAACACTTCGCAGGCATTGTCACATATCATTGCTGGGAGAATTAAGCACTGTCTGCATGA